GGGGGCAGGGAGAGAAGCTACACTTCTCAGTTTAACTTCTGTTAAACCAGTGCAGTATCTTTTGTATTTGAATTCTGTTACCTGGAAACTCTGAGGCTTTTAAATCTGGAAAGTGGTTAAAAGGAGATTTTTGCTAGTCACTTCTCTAGTGTCTTGCTGCCATAGCTTACTACCTCTGTTTTCTAAGCCATGCTGAAAGAGAAACTCTATCCATTCATGTGCCATTTATACCAGTACTAGGGAAAGGATGCAAAAGAAAGAACTAACATTCCTTCAGTACTACTTTTGCCCTTTACTCACACAGATCTTGCAGTGCACCAGCCTTCCTGTAGAATACAAATGTTATTAGTTAAAGGAAATGTATTACTTAAGGAAAAACATAATGAAAAGAATCCTGTAGTTTACAATGTTCCCCTAATGCTACTAATCTTTTGTGCTTTTAGAAGTATCTTCTCCCTTCCTGCAAAAAGTTGATGTGGTCTCTGAAGTATCCCAGGAAACATGTGAAGCCCTGGCTGACTGCCTCAACCTATTCACAAAGCAAGAAGGGGTATGTATTGTGCTGCATGGGCCTGTAAAGGGTCAAATATCTTAATATTTTTTGCTAGTTCCCTGCTTACCTGTCACAAAAACAAATATACAAACCCATAGAACTTCATTGTTGGTAAGCTGTCCTTTTGCATGCTGAATGTGATGAAAACTCATGCTTCTAGAGAAAGCATAGATAAGTTCCCTTACAAAAGGCTATCTTAGCATTTGAGTGTTCAGAAGAGACCCAGATTTTGCTTACAAACTACTGCTTGTAAAGTACAAACTGAATGCTTGAACTCAATAAAGCAGTTGCTTTGATTTGAGGGTTAAAATACTAAGGAAAATTAATCTTTTTTTGTACTGGGTAACAATATTGCTTCTGAATTTATTTTTCAGACCATGTGCTTAGTGGGTGTGCGAATGCTCTCTATTGAACTTCTGGTTTCCCTGGTGACAAATAGCTTGTATGGTGTTAAACATAATGCAAATGCTTCGATTTGGGAATATATGTCAAACTCATTAATTGCCAGAATAGGAGATCTGGTATTTTTCTCCCCTCTTGAAGATACCAGAGTACTGTGGAATAAATTTCTCTTCCTGTATTGTGGTAACACTAATCCCTCAGGCTCTTGTTGCCATCAATAAGCTGTGTTTCAAAATGAGGTTTGTGTTGGTGCTCTTAATCTTCCAGTTACTTCAGTGAGCTGCAAACACTGGCTCCATTGTCTAGGTTTGGTTTAAAATATTTTTTTCCCCATTCCTTTCTCAGCCTTTTTGTCTCCAGTCACAAGTCTCCTAGACTAAAGTCGAGTCAAGCTCTAGTGGAGTAGAGCAAGCATTGCTTCTTTACATTGGGTTTTTTCTTTAAGAACATCTAATATTAAAGTTGCTAGTTCCATTTGTGGATGAGGGGGCAATTGTTACAACAGTGGGTGTATCATGTTAGTTAGTATTCTGTAATTGTGTTGGCATCTTGCTTCAAGCCAGACTAAAATAGCTTTTCAGAGTGGAGTATGGTAAAACATATGGTGAAATTGTAATTTCACCTTACTTGAACTTGAAGAGTCTCAGTGTAGGTGTTAGGCCTTATTTTAATCTAGAAGCACATAGATTTGGGCACAGAGGGATAAGCTGAGGTGTGAACTTGCACTTCTACCATAGCTAGTGAAGTCAGTTGGTCATGACAGGGAGAAGATGTGATGCTGCAGTTTTGTGTCTTGGTATTTTTAAACTTCAAGCTATTGCAATTTGAGAATATAATGCAAGCTTTTAAAGATGCCATAAGCTCATAAGAGGAATTACAGCAGCAGTCTCTTCCAAAGACTTGAACCTTTCCAAAAAGTCACGTTCCTTGAGCATGACTGCTCTTAAACCCACAGCATATAAAAAAAAAAATTTTTTTTTTGGTGTTTGTCTCTTTTCTGATTCATGATCTCAATAGTGAAGTTAAGGCTTAAGTGTTGTAGATGTTTGGAGATGACTGCCATGAATGCTGTGCTCTGGCAGTAACTGGCTGCTGTTAATTTAGAACTGCAAAACTACCTTCAGGAGGGGTAACTCAACTGTTGTGTAAAAGCTTCTGTCCTGCCTGTCTCTAGGCTTCTCTTCATTGTCGAGGGGACTGTGCCTGCATGCCTGCAGCTTGTCTTATGGGGTAGGACTTCCTCCGAATAGAGAGTTCATTACTAGCTCCCCAACACCTTTCCACCGTTTTGTGCATGTCCTGTAAAATCTCGTTCTCTCTAGAACAAACGTGTACTCAAGCTTGGTACTTTTTTATCTTGCCTCTTTAAGGAGAATTCTTTTCCCCCTGAACTGAAATTGTCAGCATACCAGAAGCCACTGCTTGATTAATGAGGAGAGGCTGCTAACTTAAGTAAGGATAACCAGTGTGAACACAGTTTTGGATTTTTAGAGAAGACCTTTTGTTTAGTGTTACCCATCTCTGTGTTGTAAATTGTAGCATAGTCGTGCAACAAGCAAAGGAAACTGCTAATACAGAACTGAAGGAGGAAAAAAGAAGACATAAAGGCTGAAGTGCCTTGCATTAGAGACAGTGCAGGCGTGTCACCGCCAAGCGCTCCGTCGCTCCGCT